CTTTTCTTTCCTCTCCCCCAATCCCAGCCCGTTGGTGACAATTTGTATAGAAAGACGAACTTTTTGTGCAGCCAGTAATACTCACAAATTTTGTGGGTATTATGAATTATTTTGAAAGTTACTCACTATAGGTCATTTTAAGTCCACGAACAAAAAAAAACTTGTTCTTACACTGGTAAAACAATTGTTTAATGTTGCACGTCAATTAATGTTCAGGCTAATTTCAAGTGCGCATTTTCTCAACACACTGTGGTGAACACATGATTCACGGAATCCATGATTCCCGTTGATTCCCATCATTGATTCCCGTCGTGATTCTCATTCATTTCCGGTGATTCCCGGGCCGGTGCGGTGTGTACACTTGATTCCCAAAGTTATTTGCCCCCTCGGTACCAACAAAATTATCAACATTACTCACAAAATTTCTGAGTAACTACTGCTGCACAAAGAAGTTCGTCCCCTACTTCAAATTAAGTCAATAACGGTCCGCGAGTGCTGCCTCTCCCTCTTTCAACTTACTTTTTAATAACCTGTTTTGTGATGTATCTCTCTGCTTTTACATTTTCCTCATTGTACTGCCAATGACACACTTTTCTCTCCGGCAGGACTTTGACCAAGACCAGAAGCTGAAGAGCCTGACGATTCAGTTTCTAGAAGACATCCAGTGCAGTCCGAGCCTCCTCCCCGCCGAGTACAAGGCCGCAGGCCAGCTGCTTCGGCTCATCACGAAGGAGGAGCCAGAAAATTCCAAGGTGGACCTCAACGTCCTTTTGGCCCCACCGACCGTGAGTAACTCGTTGCAATGAATGCACTGCTCCTTCTAACACTTTATGGCCATATATTTTAACTCCTGAATGTTGTATGCACTGTCCACACAGTCACCGAGCAAAGAAAACATCGAGACCCTTTCGGCACTCGAGATTGCTGAGCAGATGACGTACTTAGACCATCAAATTTTCGTGTCGATTTGCAGCGAGTGCGTAATTTGACAAATGACATTTTAGGTGTTAGTCGCCTTGGTTTTAGTGCGATACAATCTGCATTTTTCTCTTTTTTGCAGAGAGTTCCTTGGTCAAGCTTGGATCAAAGAAGACAAAAACGTGAAGGCGCCACGCATCGAGGCCATGACGAAGCGTTTTAACCAGGTCAATAAAAGACACAAAAAACAAACTTACAAAAATGCACAACAGGAAATTTAGAAAATCCGAAAAAATCGGCTGTTGAAATAGATTTGGTAACAAATGTAACTGTAGAGATATTTGACCTAAATCGTGATGTCACCTCGCTCCATTTCTTTTTCATATAATTTCTTGATAAATGCCAATTTATGGCATTCTTTGAGGTACTGCACTTTGTATTAGTCTTCTCTCTCCAAAATGTGTTCCCTTTTCAAACAAAGGCCATGTTTTGGCTAATTTAAAAGCAAAAGTTATTTGGGATTCTTTTGAAAAAAAAAACAATCCTGGCAAGCTGGCAGGGGGCTGAAAATTGGTAGCCTCTAAGAGAAGGGCAAAATTTTACACTCAAAGCAAGAAAATGTACGCATTTAATCAAGGAAATTTTGTTGAAAAAAAATACAAGGTAACTTTTCTCCTTGTCTTAAGGCATTCTCATTGTTTTCAAGTTAAAAAGTTGATTTAACGTAAATTTTGTCATAGGTTGAACGTCACTTGTGTCACTTGTCAGCTGGTTGATGAAAAAGTTTCCTTGTTGTTTATAAAGGAAAAATTTCTTGATTAAACGCAACTATACTTTGTGTCCGGACAAAGATTTTCTGGGCACAGAAAGGAATGGCAAATTATGGGATTCAAGTCGCACGCCGTTTACATTGACTGTCACAACCCTTGCTGTTCAGATGTCCGCGCTCGTAGTGAGTGAGATCATCCGTCGGCCCAACATCACGGCGCGCGTGGCCGTCATCGAAAAGTGGGCCGCCGTGGCGGACATCGCACGCTGCCTCCACAACTTTAACGGTGTCTTGCAGATATGCGCTGCATTTAACAATAACGTCGTCTTTCGGCTCAAGAAGACCTGGGAAAAAGTGTCTAAGACGGTACGTTCAACATTGGTGTATGCTCCACGGTATGACGGTATGGGGCTGCAATGTGAAAAGTCTGCACTGCAAAACCAATATTGTACTTAGTAGGCACACACATGTGTGTAGTTGCAAGCACACACATGGAAGTGTGCTATAGTTCCATAGAACAAAGTGCCACACTGAGAAAAATAAATCTGTCTCAGCACTATACGTTTAGTCCCCAGATCGACGTTTTTTCGTTCAGAGAGCTAAACGTAGCATCCCATGCAAAGAAAATTTAGAGCACACCACTAAAACTCAATGGCAGGTCACTATCTCATTTTGAGCTGGGACTAAAGTCGGGAGCATACGTTTAGTGCCCGGACAGAAATATTTTTCTCAGTGCAAAGAAAACACATCGACCTATGCATGCAACGGGCTCCTATCTGTTTCCGCTGCTACCTACAATATCCTATGTGTTTTTGGTGCCCCTGTGCTGCCCTGTTTTCAGACTATGTGCACTCCTGATTAATTTCGCTAGTATCTCCAAAACGAGTGGACCAATTATAACCAAATTTACACCAGATGCACATGAAAGTTCAAGGAATAAAATGTTATGCACACCCGAGTTAAACAATGTCCCTTCTAATTGCACTCCCGCTTCGAAGTCATAGCATTTAACTAAGCTCAAAAAAAGTCTACGGGGGACCAATAACAGATAGGATGTTCTAGGGAGCAGCGGAAACAGACAGGAGCCTGTTGCAGGCACACGTCGACATTTCTGTCCCGAAAATCGATGCGTGCTAATTCGTTGTAGAAGTGACGCAACCTTACAATTGTACCAACGGCCGAGTAGATATGGAATACTTCTACGCCGTCATCTCACTAACCGAGAAGTGAAATATGTCTCACTCACATTTGCTGGTTTCAGACAAAGCAGACAATTGACAAGCTGCACGGGATCGTGTCCTCGGACGGCCGGTTCCGGAATCTCCGCGAGGCGCTGCACCGATGTGACCCGCCCTGCATCCCCTACCTGGGCATGTACCTCACCGATCTGTCCTTCATTGAAGAAAGCACGCCCAATTTCTCTCACGACAAACTCCTCAATTTCTCTAAAATGAGAATGGTGAGAATATACTATGGATGATAGCAAAACGCTTTAAGAGAAAAGAAACTAATCGCTCGTACCTGTGTTATTGAAACAGATCGCCCACGTAATCCGGGAGGTGCGCAATTTCCAGCAAGTGCCCTACAAAATAGAGCACATGCCTAAGGTGACCAACTACCTGCAGGACACAGCACTGGTCCTGGACGAGGAAGAGATGTACCGCTTGTCCCTGGAGATCGAGCCGCGCGCGTCCCGTCTCAGTGCGGCGAACACGGCAGCCATCGTGAGCGTCACTACCAGCCACAACAGGTTGTTCCCGTCTGGATCGCATGACCGCGACAGGTGAAGCAGTCCCAACAGCCGAACAGAGCGACTGCGCTAAGCTTCCCCATGGTCTTCCCCCGCAGCCCGGAACGCTGGTTCCACCGCGGCCTCGCGGATGTCGAACCACAGCAGTCGCTGTTATTTGGATGTCCCCTATTTACGAATTAAATATTTGTTTTATTTTAAAGACGACGACACCGTTTCGTTTGCTGTTTCTCTCTTGGCTGACACCTAGTTGAGACAATCGTATAGTGATCAAACAAAGTGATAGTAGGCTCTATTATTGTGACGCTTGTACACTTGGTAGCAGAATCGGAAAATTGTTGTACGGATTTCGTCAATGTTTTGTTTAGCAAGCTTTGACGCTTACTGTAATTTAAGCACGCCGAACTTGGCGGGCGAATGGCGCCCATTGTGTGGAAAAATCAAAAACTCGTGTTTTTGTTGACTCAGTGGCTAACTCTTCCTTTTAGATGCAACGTAAACTTTTCATGAGGCAACACACGCGTACGCACACACACACACTGGAAAAACAAAGGTGTATTATTTTACGGTTCCCTGGGTGTTCAATCCGTTTAAGGGGTGCATATTTGAAGGTGGTTTTCAAAATATTTTCTGTATGTGCCTCAAATTTTGGAATATATTTTCCCATTCCTCGTAAAATTCTGCGTCGAAAGGGCCTCCATGCGTACAAGTAAAGTTCAAGTTTAAAAAAAAAAAAACTACAAAATAAAGTGCAATCAATTTATACAATTTTCCAAAAGAATCCCACCTCATGTTTGCTGTTCGACGCATGATTTTTGTGTAGATTTCGTAAATGGAAATGGGTCTTCAAATATACAATTGTTATTAATAGGAAGAAAATATTTTGAAAAGACAAACTGTCTTTCAGTAGTGCTTTAATGCCTTTTGAAGATTGGATTTTACCTTTGTTTTATCAGTGCACACAAATAAAGAACTTGGCTACGTTTTTATTATAAATGCAGATAAACAATCCATTTTTTATACCCCATGAGTTTGATTTTGTAGGAAATGTGTTTATTGTTACATGAGCATTCGCTGATATCAGCACATTTGCGTAAATTCGCGCCTCGTTGTATCACCGCCAAACTTAAGAGGTGTTTTCTTGAGACTTATTTCGGTAGCACCTCACAATTTTGTCTCATTTGTGGCGTGTGTTTGTATGAATAAGCATCTCGTTACTTTCGTTGTCGGAGATCAAAATTGTTACTTAAGGTAGTTAAATTGTGTACATATAGCTCACTCGTTTCTTGTTGTTGGATTTAGGGCGTGGGTCAACCTTTTTTGTCTGTAGCGATCCGCAATCATTAAATATTACAACTTTTGTCATCAGAGTAATGTCAATGTGACATTTATTTTGGTCGTACTCGTAAAGATGCTAACTTTTCGCCTCAACATACGTAACATAAGTTATCGCAGAGAGCTGTGAAAGAAGAACAACATGAATGGTAGCGCTTTTGCGCTAGATCGGGCCGCCCACTCCATGCAGCGTGATTTGGATACTTTGGATACTCACTGAAGCTGGTTTTCCCGAGGGTTTTACGAAAATATTAACCAAACTATGTGATAATTATATTTTGTGATTCCGGTGCTAAGTGCCGCGATACCTTCTTTCTATCGCAAAGTGAATTGCGATGTAGGTATAGAGAGAAATAATGCGATAAATTTGTATTACAAATTATTGTAATACAATGACATTTTAAAATATGTTTTGCGATAAAATGTTATAGTATCATATTTTTTGCAATGATTTTATCCCTGTTATTGCTATCGAAAATCAGTTTTGCAATATGAAAGGGGCAAGAGCGAGGAGGGGGGGAGAGTCACGTTGCCCACTGGTAGAGACAGTCATGAGGACTATCTCAAACTGCTCGCGCCCATTAGCATAGTAATCATAAAACACCGGTTACAGCCAAAATTCAGTGGAATTATTGCAAAACGGATTGCAGTGCTCGGCCGCGACCCGTGCAAGCGCCAAAAGCGGTGTTCTTCGTGCTGTTCTTCTTTTCCATCTCTCCGAAATAGCTAATTGTAAGCAGCATCCTCCCCTTTGCCGAGTCTCCATTGATAATCATAATCATACCTGTCTGAAAGGGAGAGGACGTGAAATGATTCTGTGAATGTGAAGCTAGTTGACGGTAGTTATCGCGGGCGATGTTCTACCCATACAAAATATCTTCCTCTGTACTTTATGATCATTTTTTTACTTCTTGTTGTTGTCTCTTGCTGTACAGGGTTCAACTATGAGATCCCGTAGAGAAGAGTTTCGAAGATAGTTTATTTTCTTTGCCCTTCGTTTTGGGAAGGTCTTGTCAAGATAGTAAAGGTTTGCACAGGGTTTGTGTCGATGCGACGCAGTTGTAAGGAAACTCAATCTAGTTCTAGGATATTTATTTCCGTTTTTCATTCCCTAGTAACTGACAAAGGTGACTGCCCGAGGTTGATTTGTACATGTTCTCATGGCAACTTTCAGTAATTCATAAGCCGTCGTATTACCTTCTTCTGTTAAACCTTACCTGACGTAGGTTAGTTTATCGAAGTTCTTCCATGGCTGTGCGTAACTTAATTTTTGGTATTTTCTATCTCCTTATAGTTTATCTATCTTGATTCTATTCATTCCCTTTGGTCTCCTATTCTTAACCGCGAGTCTCTTAAAAATGCATATCATCAACGCAAGTCTCAGTCTGAATGTTGATTTAGTAATAATAATAGAAAAATCAAATTTCGTAAATGACGTCGTCGGCTTTTTGCTAATCAGAAAAAAATTCTAATGTAATTCCAACTGCAACCTTTACGTGAAGAGTAAGTATTGAGTTCTTAACCAATTGAATTTTCGAAGTACAGTTACATTAATGACGAGCATCTAACAAAATTAGGCCGGACCGAGCCACGTTTTAGGCAACGTGAATACCCGCACTTTTTTGTAAGCCTATAATGGGCGGGGTTTGTAAGGACCTATAGAAAGGGCGGAGGCACCCCCCCCCCTCCCGGCGCGGCTTTAAAAACTCTCTTCTTTTTTTCTCTTTTTCTTCCACGCCTAAAGTAATGCCCGCTCCGCACCAAACTGGTAAAAGAAAGGTGTGACGTTACTTATGTGTTTCCTGCTTGTAATATGAAATTGTTGATGGACTGTCGGGCGGTACGTGTGTGATAGCCGATTGACAGTTCCGTGCTACTCGGCTCGGGTACGTATAAATATCGATGTATGCAAGGCTAGGAGGTTTACACTTCACTGGTAAAACAAGTGTTTAATTTTGCACGTTAATTGACGTTTAAGTTCAAGTGTGCATTTTCTCGACACTTTGTGGTGTCTAACTAAGTCATACGTCAATTGATGTTTAAACTTTCGACACTTCCGAAACGTATAGCAGCAGCCCACCGTATGGTTCCCTATTGACAGCAGAACTGTGTGTGTCCAAGTGTGCAGAATTTAAACGTTTACAAAACGTCGAAAATTTGCACACCACGCAAGTGTGCAACTTGAGTTAGACACCATGTAATGTGCAAAATCACAACTTTCACACGTTGGTGTGCAAATATTGCACACTTGTTTTACCAGTGTTGCGTAATACAATGTACACGCGTAGGTGTAATACCCAAAAGTAGGAAAATATGCGCTGACATTGTAGAATTTTGATTTCAAAAGCTTGTTTCACAACGGCGTAATACCGCGTAAAATATAATACACATAATCTCGGAAAATGTTTGGTTGAGTTCTTATCTTTGTTGCACTCGGCGACTGAAACGACTTGCGCTGTTGAAGATTACTCTAAGAAAAAGTTTCAAACCTGTTGTTCTCTTTCGTATGCATCGTCATGCAGCGGAAAGAATGTTCTATCTAAAGCCTAAAATGTATTTTTCTATACTTTTCTCCCTTCTTGCTGTATGGTGGTTGTTACAAGTTGTGTGCGTGTTTTGTTAACATGCTGTCGATAAAAATAGGCCTGGCGTTATTTGGGTAAATTTTTGCGTACATTCCTTGTAACTTCCGCAATGATTTTTATCGTGAGAGTATAAAAACTCAAGCATAAGATTCTTTGTGATGTTTTTTTTTTTTTATCCATGCATTTGCGGTAAATGCAATTATATACAATTAATTGCGCTGTCAATTGCGCCTGTTCCACGCACATTCTCTGAATGTGAATGGGTTGTTTGTTTGTCATGTTGTTTGGTGCAACATTGATATTTGTTATTTACCCCATTTGGGGCCCCCAATTCCTAATGGATATTGATTTTTTCATTTAGAATTATCGTTCTATTTTATTATGAATGGTCGTACCGCTTTCTCCCAAGTTTCTTATCTCTTAAACCATCTCGGCAAGTTCAAGTTGCGAGTTAATGTCCAAAAAGACGTATTTCAGAAAAAAAAAGTTCTGTTCTTTCGGGAGCCAGCAAAACACCTAAATGCGCTTAAAATATCTGTAATTAAAGACTGCTGCTTTAAATTTTTTAACTATTAATAATATCGGTCTTTAATTTCATGAAGCCGCTGGTCCTTTTAGGTCCTGCATTATTCCTTCAAAATCAAGATGTCAAAATTATTCCATGATCAAGTAAATCTCTGCCATAAGTATGATTGTTGTATTTACCACTTGTGTTTAATGTGAGTTTTACGTCCTGTAGCCATTTCGTTTCAACCTCTTTCCGTTAATCACGACGCAGCTACGCAGTTCCAGTTTCAAAAGATGTATATTTTCAGAAGATTCTGTTGGTTTATGACAGACATTCGCTGGACACGTAAAATAAACGTGTCATGTTGTATTAATTGTACAAATATATTTGCGGGATCCCGTTTCTGAAAGTTGTAATGTAGATATGAGGTAGAATTTTCTCCTCATGCACACTCAAAATGAGTCTTCTGCAGAAATTTTGTATTAAATTTTCTTCAAATAAATCGATTTGTCTGGCAATTTTACTTGTCCTGTCGCGTGGGAGATGGTTACTGTAATCCAAATGACGTTAATCCGTCGACCTAACGAATCACAGAAAAAAAAAGCTCTGCAAATTTTGAGCAGTTTTCATAATTTACAGACAGACTATGCTCACTCGACAGAAGAAACCGCAAACTTCTATTTTAAGTAAAGACATAAAGGAAGGACTTGTAACGAGATTTTTCATCTTCTTTAATGTGCACTCTTAACTTTTTATTAGAAAGTATATTTTCAGTATAACTACCAAAGTTTTAAGAATTTCTTAAGTGTTACTTTTTCAACATTTTTCCAGTGTTATAATAAACGTTTGCCCAGTATTACTTCCGGTACTAGAGAAATACGTTTAGTACCAGTAAAAGGTTCAAAATACTGAAGAGTTCACTGATATATAAAGTGTGCAACTGACACACACTTTAAAGTGTTTAACACCGTGTGGCATACTGCTATGTGTGCAACACGAGTTTTGAATAGTTGGAAGTGTTCAACAGGTGTGTTGCACACTTTTTAGTGTTCAACTTGAGCGTTGAGCAAATTGCTATGTGTTCCGATCTTGTAGGAACACCTGGGAATTTTTACTTTTTCTCTACTGCCGATATTTTTCTACTCGTAATTAAATGAAGACAGCGCTGCAGAGCGCGCGTCAAAAGGAGATCGGACGACGTTAGAGCGCCACGGGGAGATCAGACTTTGTTAGAGCGTCGCGGAGAGATCGGATGACGGTGGAGCGTCGCGGGTAGATCGGACAACAGGACCCATCGAATTGCAAAGCGTTGCCTCGCAGGATTTTAACAGTGTACCGAATGAGTTCAAATAAGGTAAAAACCGGTTAAAAAGCAAGTTTGGAAATACTACGTGACTTAAATAGGGGGGGGGGGGTTAAGTCACCAGTCAAATACTACGGTAAGTCACGAGGAGGGAATAGAGGGGGTTCAAAAAATCACAAAAATCGGTCACATTAGTATGGTTAGCCAACGATCCCTATCCCTTCCCAATAAATACTTCATCCTTTGCGGCGTTGGCAGAGATGTGTTCAGGTCGGCTCATCCGACCCCGCAAAGCGCAGTCAGTTGAGATGTAAACACGCCTTAAATATTTGCCCATTGAGCTACTGCTCGTCTTGGGGGGCGCGGCATGGCGCCACACGGATGGCGCCATGCCGCAGCCAAGCGGCGCTACCACCTCGAGAGGCTCTGCCTGTGGCACCTCGCCCCGCACCATCCACACCCACACACATCGACCCAAACCCACCAAGAACACTGTTATAGTCAAATGCTGCGACGTCACATTCTACAGGGTGGCCGCTCTGCCCCGTAGTTTTTGCTGAGTTTAACTTGAACTTTAAATGCTCAGCTCTGTCAGGAAGCGCAAGGGGAGACCGCCCGGAAGACGGCGTGAAGTGAGGTGCCTGGCGTGGCACTGGTAAAACAAATGTGCAATATTTGCACATCAAACGTGTGCAAGTTGTGATTTTGCACATCACATGGTGTTTAACTCAAGTTGCACACTTGCGTGGTGTGCAAATTTTCGACGTTTTGTAAACGTTTAAATTCTGCACACATGGACACTCACAGTTCTATGCTGTCAATAGGGAACCATTCGGTGTGCAGCGCTGATATACGTTTCGGAAGTGTCGAAAGTTTAAACACCAATTGACGTATTACATAGTTAGACACCACAAAGTGTAGAGAAAGTGCACACTTGAACTTAAACGTCAATTGACGTGCAAAATTAAACACTTGTTTTACCAGTGGGGACGTGGGATGTGATGTGGACAGGCATTGGCATGCCAACCAAAATCGCGAAAACATTTTAATTTAAGCGCGCCGCAGGCCAAGGTAGACGCACATTTAGCTCAGCTTCACACGGTTTTAACGTGCGTCTACCTTGTTTAAATGTAGAGTAGCCCGCCCGCAGACGGGGCCGGTCGAGAAGCTCGGTTGCGCTACCTATCTCTTCCGCCCCCTCCCACTTCAACCGCTCCATGCCGACCGGCAGTAGACAGACACCAAATAACTGACACATCTCCGCAACCCTTCGCAACCACGCAAAGCCCCATGATCCTTCGCGTCAACCCCTGCGATGCGCCGCGCAACCCCTCGCGTCTACCAATGTAACCCGCAAGGTCCTTCGCGTTTACCCCCGCGAACCGCGAAATCACCCCAGGCGCCACCGAGGGACAAGAGCGAGGGGTTGCGCGGCACCGCGCACCTCGAAGCTTCTCTACCGGCCCCGTCTGCGGGCGGGCTAGTCTAGATTTAAAAAAAAACTACGGGGCAGAGCGGTCACCCTGCATATCATGTGAATTGTGTCACATTATATTTAGAATACCATATAACATTCGTTATAACGTGACATAGGCACGGTGTCATTCAGGCTAATATTGTACGGCAGATAACACACGATTTCATTATTGCAGGTAGATCTCGGAGGGTTTCAGGCACAGTGTACACATGATTTCAGGAGTGGTGACCCCTACGGTCGTGCCCCAACTGCGTTGGTCGAGCGGGCGATCGAGCGGCAGCGGAATAAAAGTAAGTGAACATGTTAAAGGTATTTTGAAGGGGAAATGATACTATGTATTTTCGAATGGAACAAGTACAAAGCCATTTCATTCTGTAAAATAAAAATAATAAAGCGTGAAGGCAAGTTTTTGTCCATCAAATATCAGTCGAAAAGATTATGACCTTAGTAGGAAAGTGGAGAATCCGTATGGATTCTGTTACTGCGTACAGATTTTTTAACAGTGCACGTCGCATAGCGGAACAGCGCTTCGTGAGATATCGCGAAGCCGTGTCACGCGAGACGTCGTCTGCCAAGTCCAGTAGGTTCACTTCAGCCGCCACCGCGAGGTGAAGTAAAGGGGGATTTTCTGACTGTGGCGCTCGGCCTCAAAGCGGGGTTCCCCGACAAACAGGGCAAGTTTAGTGACCCGGGGTTGATATAGTTTGTCAACCGCGCCACTGGGCATTCAACTAACATTGACACGAGCTAAAGTGTCACTCATGGTAATGTTTTTGGTCGGGAAGGTACTCTCAGCTGTTGTAATGCACTGACCTTTTTAGCAGATAACTTACACTTAGACTAAACATAACTTAACACTATTAAAGGAAGGTGTGTCATCGGCTTTAACTCTCGGTGAGGGAAGCAATAACAAGCTCATATGTATATTGTGCTAGGCGTAGGCGGGGACCGTGAGTGAGGCGGATGGGTGGCGATCGTCGCGTCGCGTGCGTCAGCCACACCACCGTAGTTGAACCTAGAGTCCCACTTCAGGACTCTAGTTGAACCGAGCCGACTCCCCGCCCAGCCCCCTTCCTCCACCCCGCTGCTCTGAACTAAACACAGGAAGGACACTGGATCATATATCGTGTAAAATTTGCACACCACGCAAGTGTGCAACTTGAGTTAAACACCTTGTAATGTGCAACATCATAACTTGCACACATTGGTGTGCAAATTTTGTCACTTGTTTTATCAGTGTAGCTACCTTTCGCAAGGGCTTAGTATGATAGAAAACGCATCAGCTCTTTCGGGTCAAGCATTTACCCAAAAATTTAACTGACTCAAAATTTGCAAACGTTTAGCTTTTGTGTAGCCTATTTTGTCTGAGTTAGCACATCCTAATATTTTGTAAATATTCGTCGACACTTGAACATGTTTACTAGAACTCGAATAGCTGCGAGGCACGTGGCTGATTGAAGCTGACGTCCGACGCGTTCTCCATACGGCATATGGTCATATGGCCAACAAACTAATTCGGGTTGATCGACATCCAAGAATTGCTCTCGAGTTGGGGAGATAAAAGTTCCAAGAAGTCTCGGGAGCCCGATCGCTCGTGTCCTGGCCAGCGGCAGCCAGCGGCGAGTAGGAGTCTCGCGCGAGGAGGGTCGAAGTCCGCCAGTGCCCGCCTGATTGCCGGCCTCACACCTCACTTGTGGCATTATCAACTCACATGTGCTTTAGAGAGAGTTCTGAATGTGTCATCTTCAGGCGTCAGACTGGTATTATTCGCGAAAGTACACACACAGAAAAATTGTTTTGTTTTTTTGTTCCATTTGCAGGTTGAGACAAAATCAGATTTGTACTTAAGACATGGTGATGTTGTTTTTAGATAATAAAACTTTTCTCTTATTCGAAGTATAATAATATCGGAGATCAAGGGTCTTTGATCTTTTGTCAGCATCTTACTTGAAACAGTAAACAGTCTTGGTGCACTATTCAGAAAAATCGACAGAAAAATTATTTTGGTGGACATTATGTCATGTACAACCCGAGAAGTTCCTCTACTCTACCTACTTTCTTCTGAAAAAAAAGTGTTATTTTTTTCTCCCTCAAGAAAATTAGCTTTTCTAAGTCCAATCATTAAGTCATACCTTTCCCCTCAAAAGGACCAGAAATCAGGTTCCAGAAAACTTTTCAGTCCGTACTGTTTGTGTTAAGAAGGTCAGTCAAGATAGCGAAGTGAGATGAGAGCGGCCACACCGGGCACCTTATCGTTATCGAGATCTCAATTGGTGTGATCCTAACGGAAGTTAAATTAAAGAACAGTTAGTTGTAAGTGAAAAGTTCGATACTTGCATCTTGGACTCTCCTCGAGATTTTTGCAAATTGTAGTTTTTTTCACGTTAGTATAGAAAGGAAACACTAATATTGAAAGTCACTGGTTTATTATCGACGCAGTGATACGGGTGACGATCCAGCTCAGACTGACCTCTAAGACACAGAACAGTCACGTGATAAGCTAACAACGTACCGACAGGTGGCGCTGATCTACATAAATCTCTGGCAGACCCCTGGTGGGTATGCAACCCATCTAGCCTAGGTGTTCGGCGGGACACCACATAAATAAAGCATTCCGAAAAAGCTAAAATATGCAGAAGAATGCAGGGAACAAGAAAACGGACTTAACCATGTTAAAGTACAGGGATTTCCGTTTTCTTCTTACTTGCACACTGTTAAAGTCTTACGAAGAAAAATGC